AGCAGGGGAACCCCCGCTTTCGCAGGCTCTTGCCAGCTGGCCGGCAAGGGAAAATCCTGCCCCCAACTGGTCTTTTCGGGCCTACTTTCAGTTTCCGGCCTACTTTGGGCCCACTTCCGGTTTCAAGCCCACTTCTGGTTGAGGGTGACATTCTGGTTTTTTGAGCAAAACTCCATGGTTTGGAAGCCGAATTTAGCATAGAGTTTTGCCCCCCAAAAGTAGAGTGTCACCCTGACCGGAAGTGGGCCCAAAAATGGCCACCATCACTTCTGTTCTCCTGGAAGGACGTTGGAAGACCCGTGCTGGCCAGGTAAGTCAACCTTGCAACCAGGGGTCATTTCGTAGAAAAAGAGCTAGGGGGACTCATTAGCATAACTCATTAGCATATGCCACACCCCCTGACATCACCGGAAGTGTGTCCTCCCCACAGCCGGCAGCGACCTCCAGCGGGCACCAGCAGGGAGCTCCAGGCCCCGCCCTCCCGCACCTCACCCGGGGGGATGGCGTCCCCCCGCGTCCCCCCCCAAATGACCCCTGCTTAGGACCCACTGATGAAGGGCCTGAGGGAATATGTGATTACTAGTGCTTGTTCAGTAGAGCATGGAACTACTAGAATACTCAAAACACTGACAGATTTCAGGGAAAGATACCTATTATAGTTCAAAATGTCAAATTCTTAAATGTAGTCCAAATCCAAAACAATTGGGGAACGATGATGTTAAAAAGGATTACCTTGAGCGGTAATGAAGGCTTATGTCCTAATTCATCATCCGAGGATGAAGAAGAATAGCAAGTGACTTGTTTTCTGACAGGTAGATGTTCAGAGCCTAAAACAGAAAACAAAAAGCTCAGTGAGGCAGACCTTTATTTTCCCTGGCACTTTGGTCTTCCCCGCGGGCCTTTGTGTTGCACCTGCCCCTAGCTTTCCAAGACTACACCTAACAACTGGTTGATCGCATTAATTAAATCCTTGGCCACTGTTCAAGGCCCTCACCAAGTGGCAATTCCCTGGCCACCCCCACCTCACAAATATATCCAGTTGTAGGTACGAATCAGTTAATTCCCGTTTCCTATGCATGATGCCTCAAGCCTGCAATCAAAACTCCAATCTGTTATTGAAATTTACATCTGAAGTTTGCTGTGTTATCTAAATGGTTGTCTAAGGCTCACCGTGCAGTGTAATTGAATTGAATGCATCAAGTCTGAGCCCGCGCTTAAACAAATTACCCTTATGTGGCTTGTAGCATCTGGCATCCATTTTTACATTGAGACATCTGCTCAGTGTAAAATAGGTGGCGTCAGAATGTCTGGTACAAACATATATGTGTGTGTGTGTGTTTAGAATCACAAATGAAATCAGAGGCAAATGGACTTTGTGAAGGAGTTTTTATCACACAGCCTCATGCAACATAAATATTTCATTAATTAGGTCTAAACAAATGTCACGTATTTTGCTCTCTCTCACACCATGGAAGAGTTGTGTGGGTGTAAAAATTGAAGTATTCGGTCTCTGGTGCACACAGTCCATTCTTCCACTAACTCTTTCTGAGATCCTAATTTTTGGTGCACTGGATGAATGGATATCCCTCCCTCTGGGAGAAACTGTACTTCAACTGTATTTCAGAAATTCAAATGGATTTGTTTTTTATGTTTAGAATGTGTGTGTGTGTACAATCTGTCAAATGTATGTTTTAAAGGGCATTAAACATTTGTGCTCGTTCTCTTGCATTTATTTGCTTAATTCATATCCTCTCTAAGACAACAGAATAGGATCAGGGAACATCTGCTGAGATACTTAACTTGCTGCAGGACTGATGATTAACAGGCAGATTGGACTGTTCAGGCAGTGAGTGGCATATATGTGCTGCTTTGTGCTTTGGGAGGTAGACATTGTTGACTTGCCATAATCATTGTGTGATTACAACATTTTATTGGGGGCAGGCATGACACCACATCCAACAAGTGCATTTGTCTCCCTAGAGCCTCCAAACATTTATATTTTATACACTTTGGAACACACAGATCAGATGATCATACTGGTTCATATCAGTTCATTCTAGCAGGCAGTATTCATGCCAAGGAGAGATAAAAAAGCAGTGGTACAGTATACTTGGGAATTACAGATGGAAGGGCCATGTAAGCCCAGGTCACCAAATTCAAAAATTTAAGTGTTCACAGAGATGACAACGTTCTACAAATACAGAGTAGGAAAATACTACGGGGCACCATGTTTCAAAGGATTTGTTGGACATGACATGATAGTAATTTTAATTGACTTAAATAGGAAACACGTCTCCACCGGTAACTTACTTCACAGCCAATTGGGACGAAAATATCAGAGACTCTATCCCTCACTCAAGAAATCCTCTATCCCAGACTTCAGGCACAATCCACTTGGACTGAAATTCTCAGGAAATGTAGACAGCTAGACCCCAGTTAATGTGTGTGGAGCTCCCATAGTGCCAGTGAAGCTACAGGCTAAACAACCAAGAAGTCCATCTTTGGAGTTCAGAGAAACCAGCTTGAACATCCCCTTTGAGATCCTCTGGTCTTCCAGGACTGCTGGGCCTCCTGTGTGTACCCAGTGCTGTAGAGCTAGACCAGATAATGTAAAGCCAGCGATGAGGCTTACTGCCACTACCCACTGGACACTTCTGCAGTCAGCTAATCATACAAGCCAGCTGCACTGCTGGAATTACGAAGAGGTAGAATAATGCCTACTTGTTACCAGCTACAGAAAAAAAAATCTGAGAAATTATAAATATGTGGTTTGTAAGAAAACAGATAAATTCACATATCACTAAATCTATTAAACATAACCAACTTCACTTTTATACCTTTAAGAAAATTTGAATTGGCTTGTGTGGAAAAAATCCACTTTATCCCAAGGCTTCTTATCTCTCTTATGTCCTCTCTCTCTTGTTCTTCTTTCCCCCATGAAGCACTGTCAGAGCAAAGGCTTTTCTTTTGGTAAGAGAGTGGGGAAAACAATTGTGTGCTGCATTTACTATTTGCCTGACAGCAGGGGGCTTTCCCTTAATGAACGAGAAAGGAAATGTGTTCTGCAATCAAGGGCTCGGGGAGGGGGAATTGCAAATGCAGCTGAGAGGCCAGGGGAGTTTATGGGTCTGTAATGGCACTGAATTGCTCTATTTGTTTAGCATTTCAGCCAAGGAAGATCGTGTGCATGGAGGAAATGGCGGGAAAAAAGCAGCACTGTGTGAAATGGCCATAGCGCTTCAGGGACAGCCTGTTAACGGAAGGGAACTCGCTGTATGAAATGCCCATCCCTGTATCGCTTTACTTGGAATCTGGCCAATAACAAATGCCATCCAGTTTAGAAGGGTTGTCTGAAAAGGCCCATAATCTTAGAAATTTTAATCTTAGAACGATTTGTTTAGAGGAAGAAGATTCTTCGAACAATTAATTCATTTCTTTCATTTTGTTTTTCTCCCTATTATCATCCAAAAAAATAACAACTGATAAACTATATCAACAGCTAAACTGAGATACACTAACAAGGGGAAAAATCTCACATTGTTTACTTTTCTCTTTCACTCTCAAATCTTTTCACTATTTATGCTTAAATCCTCAGGGGAAAACAGTCTAAAATTATCAGATGTTACAATGGCTCAAGATGATTAAAGAAATTAATCCTAAGAGAGACTGTACAAGACCTGAGCTAAAACAAATGTCTTGATTTAATAATAAATAAACCAACAATCCTAGAAATCTAATGATCAAATGAAATACATCACAAACAGAAAAGAACAGGTTTTTTTTTAAAGGAAATGTATTTCCTTTGATTTACAGTCATACAGCACTGTGGAGAAAACAGTAATACAGGTCTTACTATACTGCTACATTTATCTTTGCAACTCAGTTGTCTATGAACAGCGGTGGATAATGAATTTTGCAGAAGGAGTTCAGGCATACAAACAACAGCTCTGCATGCTGTACTGTATTTTCCCAGAGAAATGTAATGCCAGGGCTATGCCATAGCTCAGAGCCAGCACTTTATATGAAAAGTGACTGCTTGACAGGTTGTGTCAATCAGGACTGATTTAAACATGATGCTGGAGAGCAAGAAGAATTTCACTGGATGTGTGATCTTGTTTGCTGTCTGGCCAATGGGCCTGTGCCATACTCAAGTTGCTCATGAAGATGAACAGATGCTTGGTGCATGAATGACCACAGGGGTAAGACCTTCATCATCTCATTTAAGGCATGCCACAAATCACTTTGCAGAACGCAGGATACAATTAATAGTTTGGAAGTCATACCCAGTGCATACTACCTTAAGCGTCTACTTTAAATAATTGTGAATTTAGGCCAAGCCAGCTAAGTTCTAAGGAAAGAAATGCCAAAGCACATAGCAATACACTGCAAGATTTCCACAAACAGAGGGTGATCTTCACCAATTTCTCTCCTCCCACAGTAGACTTCAGACTTCCCCCATGCTGTTTGGTGGGGGGGATCCCCCGTCCCCCAGAAGCAGTATTTTCAATTGAAATTTTTGGCTGCAGCAAGAGGGGAAGGCAAGAAAATTACCCACTTCAGTCAGAAACCCCTTCTATCTGCAGAAATCCTCCATAGGACCCAACACACAGCTTGCTTTCTAAACACCCATAGCTAATTTAAGTGGACAAATGTCAATACATTTTAAAAAGGTACTGCAATATCTTTTGAAATGAGCATTTTGCTTACCCACAATTTCTTCACTGCAAGGATAATTGGTTACTTCCTCAGTTGCAAGGATGGCACTGGAGGGCACAGGGGATGTTAAAGAAGGATTGTTATCTTCATTGCCTCTAACTTTACTGAACAGATTCAAGAGATTGTTCCTCTGTACAGAATTGTTTAAAACAGCATCAGAACTTTTGTCCTTGAGTCTTAGAGATGAATAAAGAACGTGCTTTGGGTTACAGTTACTTAAGTCATCCCTTGTAGACTTCCAGAGATTCTCTTTAAGAGTAAACCTCTCTAGAAGGGTTGGCACATCATCTGCCTCAGTATGGGAAGAATATTCAACTGTGTCAAGACTTTCAGATGGGCTGGTATGCATACTGTAAACAGGAAAAGTTGTGTCGTCATATGAATATTCTTCTCCTGGACAGTTGGAAAAACTAGAACTATCTGAACTACCAGTTTCAAGTCCTTTTCCTGGAGTACACAACTCACTGGGCTCTTGCATCCATGTGTCATGCTCCTCACGATTCTTGCTGTTCCTTAAACCGACAGTAGAAGGGAAACTGAACTCTCTGTTTTCTGAAGGAAGTCTGGCATTTGTCTCTTGTGTTTTTTTCAAGCCTTCTGGGGGAGATGTAAGAGGTTCTATGATGGATTTCCTTATGGCACTGGCAATTAGTCTCAGTGGTGATTTAGACTGGCCAGCAATATGTCCTTTGGGACAGTTATCAGTGTTCTTTGGAGGTTTGTGTTCTGGTGACGTAATTGGTGAACAGCCCTCTGAGAAATCTGGATGTCTGTGGCAACTGGATGGTTTTGGAGTCTGCTCTAGGATTCCTTGGTCTTGTGGCTCTCTCCTTGTTCCATTTAGCTCACCATCTTTCAGAGCACGGAGTCTGGACTGTTCCATTGAAAATGTGATCTTCCTCATTATCTTGTTTTTAGCTTTGCTTCTATGCTGGTCTTTTGAGGATACTGAAGCTGCTTTATGTTCCTTTTCAAAATTCACAGAAGAAGCATCTGAGCATTTTGCAAGCAATCCTGAGGTCTTGCATTCTCTGCACACTGTCTGGTTTTTCAAACGTTGGTCCCCAATATTGTAAATGTCAGCCTCATGCTTCTTGCCAATGGGCACTGAAGTCATGTGCCCATGATGGAAAGATTTACTACGTGCCAAAGGGCTGCTGTCTGTGCTGCTGTGAAATGAATGATGAGGAACATAGAAAGGGATTTCTTCAGGTACCTCTGTGGCTCCTCCTTTTCTTTGAAATGCCCGGCCATGGAGTTTGAAATGTCCTGTTGTAATTTCTGGAGTTTTGTTGAGAGACATCAGCTGTAAGGAATGCATAAATGATTATTTTGGGAGGGAAATGTAGCCAGTCCTAATACTCTATTTAGAGAACATTTTCAAACAAACAAAAGAGAAAATACACTTTCCCATGTAAGTGTCAAGATAGTCCTGGACTTTGATAAAGAATCCAATAAACACGCAGAAACTAACAACTCATTTCCTGTATTTATGCAAATACTCCTGGGGATTGTCAAGATATTCGGATTTTCAGACACCTGTGGGAGTTCACTTTGCAAAGCATAACGTGGGCCTGGCAGACACACAGCTGGACATTTCAAATCTTAAATAATGAACTTCTATTGCCCAGCTCTATTGGAAACACTGTTAGCATTCTATTTTCAGAGCATTTTGTACTTTGCTACATATCCTCTTGCTGCTTTGCCTTTTACAATTATGTGACTAAAGGCCCAGAGAAATCTACGATTCTGCTGAGTGCATTTTTTTTACAATGAATGTGCTATGACTTCGGACCAAATGTGCAAGTGGGAAGCTACAATCAATCAGTATAACCCTATACCAGACCACCACTCTTTTTTCTGAACAGCGGCAGACGCCTGATGAACTTGAAGAGCTATGTACATGCAGCCCTACGGCTATAGCAAGGAAGGAACGACATGCACAGCACAGCACAGAAAGGTACGTGTGAAGATGCACTCCTGGATATGTCTCCTAAGGGACTCCTTAAGGTTTTGCTGTATGCATATACATCCATACTGAATGTGTGCCATCGTGTCGATATCCGAATGCACATTCATCCCAATTTTGTACCATGGATCTAGTACCCTGAAAAATCCAGGATCCAGATGTCACTGAATGAACATGCATATGGTCGTAATAATGGCTCAATATGTCAAACAGATCATGCAAACATAGCGAACATGAACTGAGCGCATGTACACTGAATGTATGAGAAGGGCTTTGGTCTTCCGGTAATGCCTAACCAAAGCAAAGAGGTCATGTGACATGATCACGTTCAGTGGTTCTCTGGCTCCATGAGGGGGATGGGAAATGGTGGATGTGATGGCATGTCACAGATCATCTTCAACTAGATGTTATTGGGAGATGTAGAGAAGAGAGGGGGGACTGATGATGGGCTGCTGCACATTTGACCTCAATCTCAATAGGCTGAATACTTCAGGTATGGAGAGAGCACATGAGGCCCCAGGCCCGTAGCTACGGAATTTTTAGTGGGGAGGGGGCTGGGGAAAGTGAGGGGGGCCCCAAAAAGCCCCATGCATGTGCACTGACGTCACAACAACAAATAAAAAATCAAATAAAAATAAAAAATGCTCAAGCTGCTGCCGCCGCCAGC